GCTTGTTTTTTCTTCTTTTTCAAAAAATAATTGAGTACATAAGGTGGTCTATACTTATAATTCGGTAAAAAGTATCTAAGTAGGTACTAATATACCTACTTTTTACTATCTAAAAATTTTTAAAACTAAATTTAACTAAAAAGACTAAACTGACCATTTATTTTTTAACTCAAAACAGGACATGGGTTTATTTATACTCTAAAAACTATAACTTTATACAATTAGTGTTCACTATAAAATTATATTCGGTATAGACGGTAATTATTAAATGCAACATATTTTTTTTAATTATTAATTACATTTGTCAGTGAATTAAATTTGCTTTAATAAAGTTGGTGATGATTTTAAATAAGAATAAAATTCTGCTCAAGTTTTTTTATTGTTATCTTTGTTAACAACATCGCCTTTAGAACTCTGGAACCGTAAGTGTTTCTTTCAGACGTCCACCATTTATTCAAAATAAAAAAATACTCTTTCTACCGGAGCATTCGTACCAGGTAGACATAAAATATGAGCATTATTTGTTATTTCTATCGTAAAATATAAAGTAGTTTGTAACAAGAAAACTTTAGCTAAGGGTAACACGCCGTCCATTATGACGTCTTGGGTCACATGGAAGCCAGATGTTAATGGTGTGTTGGTGTTACTGGATGCTACTTGATCATCACTTTCATCTTCGCTTGAGCTTCCGTCATCAGGTCGATCACATGGTAATTTTTTCGGTATTCTTCCTCCACACTTTTAACTTTACTGCACAATTTTCCCCATTCACCTTCTCCTATCATATTTACCTTTTCGATCACTAGTTTAGTCATAAAACAATAGATATAAATAATTTTTCTTTCCTTCCTTTTTAAAACATCGTCGCGAGTCGCAAAGTAAGCTGTGTATGCGACTGTATTTTTGGAGCGAACAAAGCGCGGGAACCAATAGCATGCAGGCACACTAATACTGGCGGATTGTTTCCCCGTCGCGCGCCTTTCGTACCAATATGTGATAAATCGCTCAGTGCCCAAGTTCAAGGCCAGCGTTTGTTTTTCACCGTTCGCGCGTACATTAACCTCCATTAGTCAGGTGATATCAATTCAGTTTCCACTGCTGGTTTTATGTTTCAGTATTTTCATGATATTTTTTATGAAATTATCGTTTCATTTAGCTGTACTAACATGATGGCGCGTGAGTAAAGCTAATAAAACGTTGTTAAAAGATGATTTTTTTTTCATCAGGATCGACTTTATTTGTAACCCATGATCAAAGGTATACTTGGTGCTGTCGCCTGTCTTAGTTTTCGGGAGCGTTCCAAAAATACCCTGTATATTCGATTAAAAACAATTATGTTGAAGATTGTTGACTTTGAATACTTCCATCCAACGAGTTACGGGACAATTTTGTGTCCCGGAGCTTTGTTTGGGGACAATGGGACAAGTGACCGAGAAAAGGGACAGTCCCGTTCAAAACGGGACGTATGGTTACTTTAGCTATAACACGGAGACGGCTCCGTGGCGCAGTGGCTTAGCAATCAGTTGTTGCGCTGGGGGCCGCGGGTTCGAATCTCGCACGGAACAAGTATTTGTATGGCCTACAAATAATTGTTCCGGGTCTGGATGTTTGTCCTTGTGCAATTTATGTTTGTAAACTGCCTCCACGACACAGGAGAAAATCCTAGTGTGGGGGTAACGTTTTTTTACAATTGAAATTGAAAGATTGAACCCTTATACTTCTTGTTGATTTTTGTATTACCTTTATTAAAGTTACCCTTATGTATAAATAAATATAATTACGTATGTAGTAATAAAATTGATTTTCATCCTCATCAATCATTGGGGCGAGGATAATGTCTGCCAGCATAAGTAATAAGCAGACTAAGTTACAAGGTGCTCAGTTCAAAAATTTGTAGGTAGGAAGTTACTTTTCAATACGTGACACGTAAAAATTAACAATAATCAAAAACACATCTACGAAACATCCTATTTATTTATTCTTTATTGCACCAAATATTTGTACAAAAGGCAAGCTATCTATTTATTTACCTTTTAATATATAATTAATTATAAAATTTCATAATTAGATAATATATGAAAATACATAATTCTAATATAATGCAACTAATATACCGAATAAAAAAATTAAAATACATTTATCGTTGTACGCTGTGTGTATTTCCATAAATTAGTTTATTGATGTTGAAAAAATAATACTACGTTTTTACCTACAATAGGTGGGCAATATATTGAAGCGAGCAGCGTGCCGCCGGCAAAATGCTCAAGGTCGTTCGCATGGAGTAGCCCCTTAACAACCATTGGGTTACTTTTAATTTGCAATTATTTCTATTAATATATATACCAATTCTAGCGTTTGTTTTATTATATAGATAATTACCAAGAAAGGTAAAGAATTTATGTGAAAATTTGGTGTAATGCGTGTTGTTGTCGTTATCAATTATGGATTATACTGTAAGAGTGAGTGTTTTTTAATGATACATTGTAGAATAAAGAGCTGCCTCACAGATAGGACTTTCCAACGCTTGTATAAGTCTACAGTAGGGTAAAGAAAGAGAAGTGCGGCGGATACTTTTAGTATAGCTCTCTGTGCTCTTTCCAGTTTTATTATTTTTGTCCTTTTAGAACCACCCCAGGATTGTTATACAGTATGCGATAATCGATTGACATAAAGCAAAGTAAACTATTTTGATGACTGTTGCGGCCTACGGCTGCTCCCTTAAAGGATCAGATCCTCAGGGGCCCATGAGCTGAAGACTTCCCGAGCAGACGTAGGTCGGGCTCAATGTGGCCACGTGGAAATTTCTGATGGAAACAAAGAGGGGAAATGTCAATACGATAAGGCACTCACCTGCTCCAGGAGCGGAGACGACCCTCCGAGACCGGCCCGGCTGATGACAGTGTCGTGAGTGTATGTGTAATTGTGTGTGCGTGTATGTTGACGGGCCCTGATCTGGATGACGCAATGCCGTCCGGAAGAAGGTATGCGCTGGTATCTTCGGAACTTTCCCCCTCTGGAGGCACTCTTCCTGGGTTGTCACGAAATGGGACAGCTACACGTAGTACTTCAGAAGTAAATCACTATTATGATTGCACAATGAATTTAACGGAGTTAGTAGTTCCTGATGAACGATACGGTTCTCACAGCGATTTACGCGGGTTGATACTTTCTCAACAAGTTAGGAGCGGAAAAAACGTCAGTCTAGCTCGCAAGAAATTCTACACTAATTCTCGAAAAGTCCTATCCCGCCGCGTCAGGCGGCCAGGGGGAGGGGGAAGTGACCTCGATATCGAGGCCAAGCGCGCGCGTTAGAATACGTTTCGAAGGTAAATAATAAAAATAAATATTCTTGCCTAAACAATGACTTTTAAATCAGCTATGTTACTAAGGTTTTTAAAAATGTATATTAAATTGCTAACTCTAGTTGTCAACATGTCTATGTGGCTTTGAAAACTGAGTTTGTTATCAATAATTACTCCAAGATATTTCATATATATATCTACTCTCTCAATAGCACTGCAATGACATTGAGTCATTTTCATCATTGAACATGTATGTACTTTAATGAATATTGGAAGTCAATGTTATTGGCTGAACGTATTGTAAAAATCATGTATTTTGCCTTTTGTATATTTAATGTTCAAAGGTTGTTTATTAGCCAGTCAGATACTTTATTTAAGCCTTCTTGAGCATTTTCATAAACTTCCACGTATTTGCATGAAAAAGGAGGGCTGTATCGTCAGCAAAACTTAAAATCTGATATTTAGGAGATCGTTAATATATGTTAAAATCAGAGTAGGGCCGAGTACACTTCCTTGTGGTACGCCAAATGATGTGGCAAGTGCATCACTAACATGATTATCAACCCTAACTTACTGCGTTCTATTTGTTAGGTAGTCTTTTATAAGATCTAAAGGTATACCTCTAATGCCCATATATTCTAATTTATTCAAAAGCAATGGAATGGAGACGGTGTCAAATGCCTTTGCTAGATCTAGGAATATAACTAAAACTTTTTGTTTATTATCAAGATTTTTTACGACAAAATCAGTTAGTTCATGTACAGCGTCTGCCGTTGATTTATTAGGGCGATTGATTGAGATTGATATTGTGATAATAATTTATTACTTTCTAGATAATTAGTAATTCTTGTATTCATTAAGCGCTATAAAATTTTTGACATTGTTGATAGTAAGGAAATCGGTCTATAATTGTTTAAACTATGTCTATCTCCACTCTTTAGAATAGGTATTGTAATCGATATTATCGATTGTAATCGATATGAAAGGTATCTGTAAGCGACGCACTATAAATATTTATTTAGAATTTATTTATGTACCTATTTGTTCTCATATGCTAAATGTGTGTGTGTGTGTGGTCCGATGCTATATATTATGTACACCGTTTGATTTTAGGGGTTATTCCGTTTATCCAACCTAAGGTAATATAAGTTTAATATATTCTTTAGGTAGTATATATCTCAGGGTGGATAAAGGGAATAACCCGATTTTTGCATACCGTCATATTTCTAATACAACAAATTAAGTGACTCGAATAACCGCTGCACCTACGAGTAAATTACTGGGGCTTATCCCTTCCTCAGGCTCTTGCGCACAGCCAGTCGGTTTAATTCTATAATCTATACCATCTTTCTGTAGATTTGACGTGGCATATCTCTTTTTGCAGCAAAAAACTGTACAATCCGGCATTTTTGTTGGACGTTCAGCCGCGCAACTACATTTAGTTACAACTTATACCGCGTGGACTTATACTTTGACAGAAGGGAACGCCTGCGTATGGCTGCTCCCCTCCGATCGATCCGCCGGTGGCCCGTGTTACTCTATGATAATAAGACATGATTTTTTCAGATTTTATAACTTAAGAAATATTTAGGAAAATAAAAGAAGTCATAATAGAAAAAACTTTAATATTAATATAAAAATACTTTAATATTAATATTTAATTTAATATTTAGACCAGTTGACATTTTTTTATGAATATCAAGTACCACAGTTTATCAAAATACTTCTTATTTCATTGTTGAGCTGTTTGAGTGTAGCCTCATCAGGATTCTCTTGTTGTATGAGCCGATCGCGTTGCATTATAAGATCACCTAATTTGTCATTCATTGTGTTTTTTGAGCCTTTTCTGTTAACAAACATAAAACATTTTTAATGCATAAGCAAAAAGAAATATTATTCACCATTTTGCCTCGTATTTTGCCTGGAAAGATTTAAAAAGCTGTATATATCTGTATCAGTACAAATATATCTAAATTTTGTAAACAGGATCTCTAATCTCAGGCTTCGTATAATCTGCTAAGTCTATAAAACACATCATTTGACGTGAAGTAGTAGTTATAAAGGAGTAGAACGAAAAACAATTCAGGTTACCTTGTCTATCGAGGCTGTATTTTTTGTTATAGAATAAGGGTGACAAACAGGCATACAGTTCACCTGATGGTAAATGGTTGCTGTGGCACATAGACATTTATGTACATCTATCTTCGTTTGCGAATTAAAATTTAGATGCGTTGTCAGCCGCGAGGACTAAGACAGAATGCCATTTTGTCCAGTAAAAAGGGTCACCAGTTCTCTCCACTAACTATATGAAACACTGCAGCATTAACCTTTTGAGCGCCAAAAACGCATTACCGTGTCCTGTGCGCCAAAGCCAAAAGTAAACAAAAATACCTACGAAAAAAATAGTGTTGCCAAGTGTTGATATATCGATAACACAAAATAACTTGTTTTTGTTGGTTTTTTATGCAATAAATGACTATAATCTGGTGTTTTATTTAATCTTGTGCTGTCTTCCACTTTTATATATGTATGTACTTCTGTGCTCGAGGCTGACAAGGTTAGCTTCAACCAAATCAAGGTCATCAATGAGTCTCTACACGAGTCCTACGCTGCCAGTTGGCATTTTGCAGCACCAGCTCATATAAGGTAAGAATCTGCTGCCCCGGCGTGAAGTACCGCCACACCCTTGCAAAAAGGCTGCTTCTCTCTCTGGACTCAATGAACCGCCCATAATTGAGGTTCGGAGAAAATTCAACCCTAACTAACAACTGAAGGTTTTCTTCTTTTCTTGTTATACGTATTTTCTTTAGCGTGCCGTTTCTTCTCGGTCAGTGTGTTTATAAAACAAAAAGTTACATGATTAATTGGTGATTTAACCTTTCCCATGTGTTTAGCGGGAAAAAGGTAAGGAAATCAGCATTTCTGAGAAATAAAACAAATATTTCGAACATATATTGTGACATATTGGGGCAGTGCGGCGAATACACTGTCGGTCGTATGTAGGCTGTAATTTTACAGAAACAATACTTACTTCATATTATCGCCGAACATGTTCAAGCCATCGGGACCTGGTATACCTTTAACACAAAAATTTTTTTTTAAATTGAAACAAAAACAAACGCAATTATTTTATGGTCAGCAAAAGTACAGCGTAAGAGAATCTTTAACACATTTTCAAACCGAACCAATTCATTATCTGTTGAACTATTATTGACTTACCAAATGTGACAAGTTGGGCAATAACTTTAATCATCGAAGCCTATATGATCAGTGGCAAATTTAATGCGTTGAAAGGAAATAAACAGTAGACTGTTTCCAAAAATGAATTATTGATTAGGATCTTATTTCTACAATATGTATGTGTATCCTTTACCCATTTTCTTTACAATTGTAAGCCAGTGCTCGTGCCACTATTATCGCACCTGATAGTTAGTGGTGATGCAGCCTTTGTACTGCGTACGACCCACAAATAAGACTTGATATTTTTACAGAAACAAACTGATCATAATCATCATAACAGCCTATTCCACTGCTGAACATACCCAAGCAGCATGCAAGCTGTATACGAGCTGTATTGAAGTTCCTTTTTATACTACAGGCTGCATTTACTGGCTGTACAAAGGCTGTATAAGCGCTTATAAGTAAAAAGTTGGCACAAATTACGAGTATACAGCTTTATGCGTTAGTAGCGCTGTATAGTAGCTGTACAAGCACCAAAGTGGCTGTATAATAGCTGTTATTTGGTGTACAAGGAAACTATTAGACTACAAATACTATCTTATAAGTATCTTTTACAGATAAACGTTCTAAATTGGTGTTTGAACGGTATCACAAATGAAATTATGACAAAAATAACTTAATAGGTTTACTTTATTGAATGATGGTGACATTTATAGGGAGGTAAAGATTATATTACATATTAATATTACTTGGATTGGAGTTTAGTTTTGACGGTGATAACTGGTGAACAGAAAGTGCAAAATTAGATTTACGGTAAACTTGTATATGATTTCTATCAAAAAATTGCCGCGCCAGTAAAATAACGAAATAATATAAGGACAAAATACTAAATATGGTAAGTAAATATTGATTTTATAGGTTAGAATAAGAAAACAATTAAATTAGCGACTATGAATGCATATTGGGGGCAAGGTGATCATTAGTCAAACTAAAAATAATGGTTTAGGCTAAAACTAATGTCTAATATTCCTAAATTTACAATTTAAATTTTGTTTTTATAGGTTCTAAAATGGCGACAATTTGCTAAACAACCTAAAGGATATTTCGAGGGTCTTATAGTCTTAGTAGCTGTACTATGTATGTTATACTTACTTACTTACTTATCTTCACGCACAATCCCTGACGGGGTAGCCAGAGAGAACAGATCGCCAAGTGTCACGATCCTTACAAACCTCTTTCGCTTCTTTCAGATTCATTATCTTCTTCATGCATGCACGTCTAGGTATCCGAGTACTTTTGACCCTACCCTCTTCGAGCAATTTGCTCACATGGTCTTCGAAAGTTAGTCTCGGTCTACCTCGACACCTTTTAATATTAACTTTCGCGCTATATATTTTCTTCACCATTCGGTCTTCACTCATTCGCTCAACGTGCCCAAACCACCGAAGCACGCCCTTATCAATTTTTGTGATAAGGTCATCTTTCAAACCTGCCATATTGCGAATCTCTTCGTTTCGCTTTCGGTCGGCCATGGTAACGCCGCACATTTTACGAAGAGATCGCATCTCCACTGCATTCAACTTACTTTTATGCTTCTTCTGGCATACCCAGGTTTCGCTGCCATATAACAAAGTCGGTACCAACACTGCGTTATGTATTGCAAGGCGTGCACTCTTCGCTACGCCTTGCCTTTTGACTAACGCAGTCAGGGCACCATTGACTTTGTTCCCGGCAGCGACACGCCTGTCCACATCTAAATCACATCTTCCATCCCGGCTAAAAGCACTCCCCAAGTATACAATTTGGATTGTATACTTGGATTCTATTATACAGCCATTAGTTTTTAATCAGCTGTATAATAGAATATTTTGATTACTAACGCTGTTTAGTAGTTTTTAAAACATCACAGATAATTGTCTTTAGAGATATGTATAAAAGATGAAAAACCTTTGTCTTAGAAACAACACTTTTATCCCTTCTTCACTTTATCATTTAAATAATAATATTTTAAGATTTAATCGTGTTTAAGTAATTTTGTTGTTTTATTTTATGGACAAGGACAAAAAAGTGCTTACTTCTTTAACTTCTTTTAGACAGAAACTATATAAAGCCACACAGACAAAGTTAATAAATTGAAAAAATATTTTTTTATTTTTATACCAACCTAAATCCATCGATTTAATCGAAATGATTGTATTTATTGGCAATAAATTACTACCCCTTTGATTCAGTTAAATTCGCAAACTAAACCAAAAATATGACTACCTTTAGCAAATAAAGATTAGCTATACATCTTTTCTTTCTAATGTTAAAAAGTGGAGTAAAGAATCAAAGCTATCTCTTTCTTTGCCAAACAATATTAAGGAAGGCACATTTTATGACAGAATATTTTATCTCGCTCAGCAGTACGGTACCAGTACGAGCGTGCTGTTTATTTTGTTATTGTGTTTAGTTGACAGGTAACTCCTGGCAAGCGCATACGCATATCGTTTTCTATTCATACTCTTACGTCACGTAGGTAAGGCAAAACCAAAAGAGTTAGCTATTTTATTTGATACATAATTTAACTTTTGTGAAGTAATTTGACTGTGTTGTGTATCTTATACTGGATTTATTTTACTTTTTAGGAAAATATGCCGTTTAAAATTTTGGAAACCAGAGAGAAAGGGAAAAATTGCATTTTCATTGTACCAAGTTTGTGGGAATCAAAAGGCCATGATGGCCAAAAAAGCGATTAGATGCTAATATAAATAATATAAATCATTTAAAGCTACTTAAGATATATTTCTTTCTGTGGCCCTATTCTTCAATTTGCTGGCAAAATAAATAGATTTTTTGAAAATTCGCTGTTATTATCATTTGAACTACAAGTAGTAGCTGCTGCATGATAAATCATCATAATCAGGTGCCGAAAACTAAGTTACATTTGACATAACTGTGTCCATGATTAACACTGTTTAATGTTTTTGTTGTTTGTTGTTTTGACTGTAGATTGTCTGATTTATTAAAGTATTTCTATATTCTTCAGTATCACTATTATTACGTTGATAATTTGTAATATTTAAATATTCCCTTTTAATCCACATTGCACATATTGACAACAAATTAATTTGTTCACTATAGCACAATATATTATACACGCAATTACGCTTTCAAAATGGCGATATTCTATCACTTATACAGACTTAATCTGTACTATAGTTGTTATTTATTTTTTTAGTTTTATATCACTCTCATAGACAGAAGTTATAAAACCACTGTATTTACAAGAGTGTACAATTACGCCATAAGAATAAGTTTTAGAAGGGAGTTCATATACACCATTGTACAGAAATAATATTTGAATGATACTATTATAACACTTAAAGCTGTAATAAGCAAGTGACAGCATGCAAAAAACAGCTTCTATACAGCTTTAATGATAAAATCAGATTGAAATGTAACAAAATACTTAAAGCTGTATAGTAGAGTTTTCATATTCTGATTAAGAACCCTAAGCTTACTTAGATCCCATAATGCAGACTATATACAGCTTGAGCTGTATAATAACTCATAAGCCACTCTTATAGTATACAATCTGTTTTCGACACTCTTATACGCTTCTAATAGAACTCTAAGTTCTATATGGGCTGGTATATTGATGTTCATAACGCTTGTGTGCTGCTTGGGTAGGCCTTCTCCAAGAATAAATATTTTAATCAACTTATTTGCATTTGGCAAATTAGTGAAAAATAAAATTGTTATCATTTTAACTACAGACTCAACGTTTGCGGGGTCCGCGTAGATTTGAGATTTACAGCCGCAACAATCTGAATATATTATTAAATAAAATTTAAAAAGACTCACTGTTCGCGGAATGTGATTCCAGGGGCGGTGTATTCGCCAGCAAATCAGCGTAGAAGTCATCCTTCAACTTATTTATGTCATTTTCACTCAGATCTGCTTTACTTATCTCGCTATCATCGATTGCATCCAAACTGAAAGTTCGATACTTGTTTACAACATATTTTATTTACGGAAGACAGACTAATTATATGTAACAGAATTATCAGTCGAAGAGTACTGAACGTAATATTATACTTGTACTATCAATATCAATGCAATATATTTGTAAATATCAGGAGTTATTACAGTACTACAAGAGTATAGTGCAGCGTAAACGACGGGCCAAACAATAACCAAAGACTAATTCACCCATGAGGACTGAGATGGAATGATAATTAATAGAATCAAGCGTTACTTTGCGGAAATCCATTATATTAAAGTTGGCAAAAATTACATCGCGTACATCCGCTCGATAAAATAAAATGATGTGTCTCACATAGTTTGAAGAACACCTCCCACCCTCCCTCAATTGCGTGCACTATACCCATCACCACTAATTAGCTAATAAGCGGTCAGCCACCCATGAAGCTAATACAAAGGGGAGACGGCATAAGCAACTGTGCACTGTGATTCTAAGTAGGTCCTGACGTCATCATAGTGGGCGTGGCTTTAGTTAGTATACTGTCAGCATTCGTCCTGTGTGCTTGTCGCTTATGTGTTGAAAAAATCGCAAATCGGTGTATTTTCGTAGTATTAAGAAGAAAAGGATGAAGTGTTGTGTTTTATTGTGTAAAAACTACTCATAGACGCTCTGATGTTATGGATGGCATCACATTTCATTTGTAAACTGGACTATTATTTATGTGTGGGTTATACTACTTAATATCTCTGAGGGAGAACAAATAATAGACAAATTATTATAATTCATATAATTTTATTTACAAATCAATTAAAATATAAATATTTTATTCCAAATTAGGCATCCGAATGCACTTTTTGAATGCCAATCTAAGAACATTAAATTGTATTTAAGTAATTTTTTGCACATAGAATGTCACTTAAATATAACGTAAACATTTCGTAAAAATCAGCCAAGTACAATTTCCTTCATTTTAATACTGAATGTTGGGTTACTGGGTAAAATAATTGAATTCTAATTGCGGCCCTGTCTTTTTGTTATTTTTTATGAGGTTTACTTCACGATAGATGGCGGCCTGTTCCCAAAATTATTATGAAAACTATAAAAATATTATTTTGGCGATTAAAACTTCTTTGTCTGAATGTATTTGCTTCATGAGATAGACGCTCCGATGCTATGGATGGCATCACATTTCATTTGTAAGTAATTTTACACCTAATTTATTAAAATAGTTCTAGAAAAATCTCTTTGCGTCGGCTTTCAAATATAATTAAATATATTCCACACTAGATGGCGACACCTTTTGTCTTGTGAACTAAAAATATAAAGGTACGTAGAGCTCAGTAATTATAAAATAATCATACGAAGGCGCTGAAATTTGTTTTGCATTCAGACATAAAGAAATTTTAATCGCCAAAATATTATTTTTATAGTTTATAACATTTTGTGGACATGCCGCCATCTAGCGTCAAGGTAGCTAAGCTACATTGCAACATCGATATGGAAAGATTCGAGTAGTTTTACTATTTATCGGTAGATGTAGATAGTGTAAAGTGGACGGGCCTTTGCATCCCCTCACCCCGCAAATTGTCACGCGTTGTTACATAGTAAAATTTAATTATAACGTCTCCTCTTTGTATTTGCTTCATGCAGCCACCGCAGAGTCTACATCACCTGAAGATGCCTCGTGTAGAGGCGAAACACGTGTCGTATTGTCGTCAGAGATATGTCTTTCCAAGTGTAGTGGTGTTGGGAGTAGTGTGCACGCATTTGAGGGAGAGCGGGAGGTGCTCTTCAAACTAGGTGAGACACATCATTTTATTTTATAGAGCGGATGTATGCGATGTAATTTTTGCCAACTTTAATATAATGGATTTCCGCAAAGTAACGCCTGATTCTATTAATTATCATTCCATCTCAGTTCTCATGGGTGAACACGCATCAGCGTTCTGATTGTTAATTGAGGATATATGTAGATGTCTAAGGGCCACAGCACACATTTACTATCAAGTGGACTGTGTTCTCATTTGTCACCCTTATTCTATAAAAAGTAGATGCTGTGGCCCATAGACATCTAATTCTATGTTCTGTTAATGTATTAAAATGAGGTTCCTTTGAGCGAAGAAATAGTGATTGCAATTAGGTGCACGAGTGACTTGTCCTCACCCAACTTGGTTCAGAAGACCCTTCTCCCTCCTCAACTGCGCCAGCATATTCCTCCGCGAACTCATCTTAGTAAGATGCAGTTCACGGACTGCTCTGCCCCACTGCTCTTTGAAAAATGCCTTTGACTGGACCGCACTGTCCAACTTCTCTTCTAAACAACGCTGAAAAAGACGGCTTACTATTAGTATGTAGACAGTCAGTTTAGGAAACTGAAGCGGCGACGAGATATTTTTGTCACGCATATCGGACTATTACAATAAGTGTTACATGTGCTGAATGCTCTCTAGACTGAAAACCTAACCGGCCGGCGGCAGATCTTCGTCTCCCCTTTTGGTTTTTAACAACGTCAATATTAATGCGATATGTGAATTGTGTACTATTAAATTCTAAAAGATTTAAAAATGAAATTTGCGTGTGCTATTTGGCACTTTATAAAAATAGACATACTATTCGTTATAATTTTGTTTTCTATACTATATAATATTATAAAGAGGTAAAGTTTGTAAGTTTGTTTGTTTGTAGGAAGTAATCTCTGGAACTACTGAACCGATTTTAAAAATTCTTTCATCATTAAAAAGCTACATTATTCCTGAGTGACATAGGCTATATTTGATTTTGATTAGTCATATTCTTAATGTGAAATTACAATATTTGCCAATCGATTCCGAAAATAAATCTTAAACACTCAGTACTAAGAACCACACAAGATAATTTCATCACAAGTTAAAATGTTTGACGCCCAGCAAAGTGGGCATGGGTCAGCTAGTATAATATAAAGAGATTTTGTAAAATACCTTAATGGTGGTAATTCTTACCAATTCTTGTATTAGACTTGCAGTCTGATCCTTTGTTAAACCAGAATATTTACTTTCTGCGTCCTTCTCCATGTTTTTCATATTATTCTGTAATTGAATCACATATAATAAGCTATTAAATATAAACAGAAATTTATAAAGATGGAATTCGTCTAGTTTTGAATATTATAGTGAGTATACAATATTATGAATCTTGCGTGACGTTAGATTTAAGCCAAGTTGCCAATTACAAGATATCCCGCTTTCGCCTCATTTACCTATATAAAAACCTATGCGCAGCAATACTTACGACTGTTACACTTGGACGAGATATATAAATAAGAAACTTTATCATATGTATAAGATTGATTACCTTTAGCATTTCAACTTGTTTCTCCAGCTGCTGTACTTTTAACTCCAATTCCTCAATCCTCATGTCCTTCAATTTAATCTGATGATGCATGTCGTCTTCCATTTTCTGTGATGCTTCCCTTAATTCTTGATACTTGGCAGTATAGTGAGCTTCTAAAGCTTTCTTTGCCTCTAATAACTAATAAAAAAAGATAACATAATATATATACCGTTACTTTCAAAAACGCTTTCTAATCATATATAATTAAAATTTTATTTAACATATTAAAATATACTAAGAATTCCACTAGCGTTTTGGAAGTATTTCAATACATAAATTGCACAATATACAGATATACAGGTGCACTAGGTAGGCTATATCAAAAGTACTGAACACCACAACACAAGCCACTGAGCTATGAAACAATAAAAATGATGGTACTTAAGTATATTTTACTAGAATTGCTTTTTGATTGCAGTCGTGTGCTGGCAGAGTGAGAGAATCTATCAGTATATATTTCCATACGTTATATATTTTTCACCATATTTTGTCCCGTGGGTCTATGAAACATTACTCTTATGGCTTCAGATAGATGGCGGTATAGTCATCTGTTTACGTCAGACGTCTTGTGCTCCGATCGTAAATCCGGCTGCCAAGCATGACGCATAGATAAGAGTGTATATACGGAGCATGACCTTTCAGGCAAATACAACGGTAGAAGCCCATGTTCAGCAATGAACTTTTACGGGGTGATAAAAAAACATATTTTTATACGTATTTATTTGCTTAAATGTAATGAGGTTTTATAATTCAGTTTTTACCGACTTTTGAACGCTTCAATAGACTGAAATTATAAAGACTAATTAAGAACTTATGAGTTATAATAATTTCAATACTATAACCTAGTATTTTAGTATTCTCACTAGAATTATTATCTGCATACATATTATTGCAGTCAATAATCAATGGGTCAAATTAAATTATTTATAATTAATATAATATTATTGATTTTAATAGATTCGACAAAATATTAGTAGTAAAAAGGATAATCGAGAAATAAAAACATAGCTCGATTATCTCTCGAAGATATGGTTAAATAAGTAATTTTTCACAGTGAAAAACGGACGTTAAACTAATGTGATTATAAGATGTGGTCCAGGATTAACTGTAGAGTCGTGTAAAAAATTTTTCCTTTATATTACTAATAGCCTATATTTTAATAAAGTTAAAATATGGGACTGCTGTGAAACTAAACTGCCGTGTTATCCTTGTGACGAATTCAATGGAAATCTGATATCTCATTAGAAAGATATAGAACCGATAAGTTACAGTGCACAGTTCATTTGAAACAAGGCGACATTTGCTTGAAATCATTCCAAACTTACTACAATCTTGATTAGCTAGGTTGTATGTGTTCGATAAAGCAAAATCGTTTCACTTACCTCAAAAATATCGACTACATACATACATGCATAAAAATAAATGAAAAAGCAGTTAAATTGATAACCTCCTCTTTATAATTTACTTTTACATTATTAAGTTCAATTAATATTTTCATGAGAATACTACTAGATGGATTTATAAATAACTTACTTTTCTTTCCCTCTCAGTATTTCTATATCCTCTTAAACGAAAGTCTTCAGTCGCTCGGCTTAAGTCGTTGGCCAGAGTACGGCATCGTTCCACACCGTGGCTGAGTTTACTCTCCAACTCTTCTCGCCTCTTATCCCACTCTTTTGCAAGCAGTTCCAGGTGGTACTCTTCCTTGCGTTTCAACTGAAATTACAAAAACTATACTATTTTTCAATACTTCCTTAACCCATTCGCTGTCCCGTATATTACATATAGTTCATTGCTATTGTCTTCCTATTGTGTCTGAAAATCGGACGGTAAGTGCTAATACTTTACCTAAGAAAGTGCCGTTCTGCAGTACTGGCCATTTAAAATCAAAATAATTTTTGATGGGCTAAAAATTCCAATTTTGAACTAATATTTTTTTAAACATGGAATTATTATTTTTCAAAATTAGTCACTTGTGTAATTATAATTGTTGATTAGCGTTAAGTTTTCATAGCATTTGAATCTTTTTCGTCATTATGGATACATTAAAAATTCCAGTAATTATGGGATACGAATACCGTCGTGGGAGCAACGCGGCACAAGCAGCACGCAACATCAACGACGTTTACGGAGCGAATACTACAAACGAACGCACCGCCTGTTATTGGCTTGTCCGCTTCCGTTATGGAAAGCTTCCACCTGAAACATGAACCCCGTGATCGTCCGAAATCTTTGACCGACAATGACGAATTAAAGGCGACTGTGGAAGCTAATAACACTCGATCTACGGCTTAATTAGCAGCAACTTTTGAAGTTAGCATCAAAACAATATTGGGCCATTTGCGTCAAATTGTCTATGTAAACAAGCTTGGAAAATGGGTGCCACACGAACTCAATGATGGCCTGCGCAAAATACGCATCGAAATGTGCCTTGCACTGCTCATCAGGCACACAAACGAAGGAATTTTGAACCCCATACCTGCGACAAAAAATGGATTCTATTTGACAATCGCAAGTGCTCAGCAAGTTGGTTGAAATCTGGTTCAGCAACTAAACAATGCCATAAATGAAAACTTACCCCTAGAAAACTTATGGTCACTGTTTTAGCGCAGCTATACGCAACCTGCGGCCCGCCGGGCCTTTGTGATTGACCCATCTGAAGTTCCAAATTTATTGTAAACCATTTTAAATTTCGCGCCCATCAGTGAACGAGTGGTTCGGAACGGGAATGTGAGCAGAGCGCTATCAGCGATTTTGGCGTGAATCGGATCGCAGCTTATTATTAGTCATCTGTGGTTGCAAGAGCAAGACGGAATGCGCCGCGCCGGCGGGATCACGAACCTGTGCGTGTCGCTTTGTTTGCAGGTCGTAACTTGTTTTGAATTTATTTACATAGCTACGCTACGCTACGGTGGTAACAGATAGATAACAAATAATCAAAGATAATCTCATCCAGTAATTGCAGTTAAGGAGCATGGTTGAGCAAAATGTCGCGCTAGTCGTTATTTGTGCATTTTTTAGGAGCTATCTACTTTTTATTAAAAAGATATATCAACTAATAAAAAACACATTATATTTCTACATAATCTTGATTCCATAAGAGTCATATCCAATTTTTTTCAAAAGGAATAAATATTAAAATAATCTCCTTACAACGAAACCATATAAATGTGAAATAATATTGATAACATGCATGTCCTCGTAAAGAAAGCATTATTTTTTATTTTGCGATTGACACTAATGGATAGGCAATTTATTAATGAACATTTCTATCATAAAAATTTTTTCAGAAGACCACAATTTGATTTTATTAAGAAATTATTTTAAAAACTTGGCGTATTCATTGCCCACAGGGTTGCTGGAGTCAGTGAGCGCGAAGCTCTTGAAGGTGAAACCCGTGTCGTTAGTCACGATGTCGGCCAGCGCACACACTCACGTCATCTTATCAGTCTATAATATTATTACTTATTAGGTTATTTACAGGTAGTATTATTTGTGTATTATTATTTTTCGTATTAGTTATACATATATTTGTTGTGTTTTTTACTGCGCGATGAAGCTTTTTGCGTGTATTTTCTTTGAAATAAATGCAAATATAAAAATTAAGCACCATTAGCATGTAAGGTTTGGTTTGAATTGGGCGTTTAATTTGGTCTATGGTCGTCTAATAAGGCCCGGTCGGGTAAGTCGGCCTATAGGCGACTAATTCGGCCTGGGCGTTTAATTTGGCCTATCTGCGGCATTGTGGGTTATTACTCGACTGTCTAATCGCTATAGAGAGGAGTTCTTTTGGCAGAGGTCGCCCGTCATACAAATATTATAATTTACACTATAAAAGCTAATTCAATATTATCAGTATAGTATACAGTTAAAAATAATCCTAATACCTAACCACAATATCTTAGTAGGTATAGCAATTCGGTAAAAAGTACCTATGTAGGTATTATGATTAGATAAGAGGTACTTATGTAAATAGTTACCTACTTTACTAAGTAAGTACCAATACCTACCCGGGCATCATTTAATTACAACCCAAAAACCCCTATAACGAAACTGACCATTTATTTTTTAACTCAAAACGGGACATGGGTTTATTTATACTCTAAAAACTATAACTTTATACAATTATTCTTCACTATAAAATTATATACGGTGTTACGGCCTACGGCTGCTCTCTTAAAGGATCAGACCATCAGGGGCCCATGAGCTGAAGGCCTCCCGAGCAGACGTAGGTCGGGCTCAATGTGGCCACGTGGAAATTTTCTGATGGGAGACAAACGAGGGGAATGTTACCACGATAAATGCACTCACCTGCTCCAGGAGCGGAGACGATTCTCCGAGACCGGCCCGGCTGATGGTAGTGTTGTGAGTGTAGGTGTACTTGTATGTGTGTGTATGTTGACGGGCCCTGATCTGGATGCCGCAATGCCGTCCGGGAGAAGGTATGCGCCGCTGGTATCTTCGGAGCTTTCCCCCTCTGGAGGCGCTCTTCCTGGCTTGTCACGAAATGGGACAGCTACACTTAGCACTTCAGAGGTAAATCACTTGTATGGTTGCACAATGAATTTAAAGTAGTTATTAGTTCCTGATTAAAGATAAGGATCTCGCAACGATCTACACGGTGGCTACCTTCGTAACAAGTTAAGCGCGGAAAAACGTCAGTCTAGTTCGCAAGAAAAACTACACTAACTCTCGAAAGTCCTATCCCGCCGCATAAGGCGGCCGGGGGGAAAGGGGAGCGGGAGGTGACCTCGATATCGAGGCCAAGCGCGCGAGTTAAATACGTTTCGAAGGCAAAATGAATATTCTTGCCTATACATACGGTATAGACGGTAATTATTAAATACAACATATTTTTTTAAATTATTAATTCCATTTGTCAGTGGATTAAATTTGCTTTAATAAAGTTGGTGGTGATTTTAAATAAGAATAAAATTCTTATTTAAAATCACTAACACCTAACAAATAACTTTGTTAACAACATCGCCTTTAGAATTGGAACCGTAAGTGTTTTTTTCAGACGTCCATAATTTATTCAAAATAGAAAAATACTCTTTCTACTGGAACATTTGTACCAGGTACACATAAAATATATTCGATTAAAAAAAAATTATGTTGAAGATTGTTGGCTTTGAATACTTCCATCCAACGAGTTACGGGACAATTTTGTGTCCCGGAGCTTTATTTGAGGACAATGGGACAGGTGACCGAGAAAAGGGAAGGTCCCGTTCAAATGTACGTATGGTCACTTTACCTATAACCCGGCGACGGCTCCGTGGCGCAGAGGCTTAGCAATCAGTTGTTGCGCTGGGGGCCGCGGGTTCGAATCCCGCACGGAACAATTATTTATATGGCCTACAAATAATTGTTCCGGGTCTGGATGTTTGTCCTTGTGCAATTTATGTTTGTAAACTGCCTCTACGATACAGGAGAAAATCCTAGTGTGGGGGTGACTTTTTTTTTAAATTGAATTTGAATACCCTTATACTTCTTATTTATTTATTTAACAATTTATGTACACACAAACAAAGGAAAGAACACAACTTGATGAACAGTTTGTACAAGGGCGCTACTTATCTCATTATGAAATTTCTTCCAGTAGGCCAGTTAAAAAGATATGTGATAAATAAAAGATAGTAAGGTGTGCACTTTGTTATTATATACACATACATACATATATACATACAAGATAAAATAAATATATGTATAGTCATAATTAAATATATATAAATAATAAAAAGTATAGTAAATATCAAAAATATGGAAACTTACACAGAAGACAGGGATAAATAATGTTCTTTTACACGTTTTTTGAATAATGTCACTGTTTTGATTTCTCGAATCGTAGGAGGAAGTGAATTCCAGAGTCTTACTGCATGTACAGAGAATGAACGGGAATATGAATGAGCTTTAAAGGATGGGAATTTTAAGAGGGTTTTTAGGTGAGATCTACAAATTGCATCTGGAGATTTAAAAAAGGTGAATCGATTACGAAGGTATGAAGGGAAATTCGGACTGTGTAAGATGTTAAAAAGAAGACAAAGGATACGGGTGTTCCTGCGAAATCGGATCGGGAGCCACTTGAGCTGCTTTCTGTATTTAGAGACGTGGTCAAACTTCTTGAGTCCAAAAATATACCGAATGCAAAGGTTTTGCAATCGCTCAAGTTTGTTTAATTGTTCCTCTGTAGCATCCAAAAAACAGACATCAGCGTAATCTAAGATTGGCAAAATGAGAGTTTGGACAAGAGAGATTTTAGTTGATAAGGGTAAAAAACTTTGAAATCGTTTTAACGAGTGAAAAGTATAATGTACTTTTCTGCTTAAGTCCGTTATATGAGCACCCCATGATAACCTATTGTCAATAATTAGGCCCAAGTTCTTCACGGATTCCGAATAAGCAATTGATGTGCCATTGATAATCACGTTTGGCAGGGTGCAGTTATCAATAATACTACTATTATATCTGCTGCTTACTATTAACGCTTGAGACTTACTTGGATTTATAGATAAACCATGGGATCTGGACCAACGATTAATCCTATCCAAATCGTCATTCAGTGCATCTATAGCCATTTTAGCCTCAGATGCCTCAAAGTGACGGTAAAGCTGCAAATCGTCTGCATAAAGATGGAAATTGGAGGATATTATTTTCGTTATAGAATTAATAAAAACGGTGAAGAGTAAAGGAGACAAGACGCCACCTTGGAGTACACCTGCAATAAGATTACACCAGTTGGAATAAGTGTCATTGGAGCGGATACATTGCGAGCGTCCCCGAAGATAGGAATCAAACCAAAGAATGGCCGAAGATGAAACATTGATAGCCTGAAGAATTTTAAGGAGGATATCAAAGTCAACAGAATTGAAGGCACTACTAAAATCTAATAAAACGAGTACTGTTAATTGTTTTTGATCTATGGCTCGACGGATATCATCAGTTACGTGAAGAAGAGCAGTTGTTGTACTGTGACCGGGCCGGAATCCAGATTGAAATGTACTTAAAATATTGTTGGAGTTAAGATAAGAAGAAAATTGATTGTGAACAATATGTTCCAGTACTTTAGAGAGGAATGGTAAATTCAGAAGGTAATGTAGGGTTAGCAACCTTGGCTATAGGAATAATGTGTGCTAACTTCCACGAATATGGAAAACAGGAGAAAGACAATGAAAAATTAAATATGTAAGTAAGAACTGGGTCTGGATGTTTGTCCTTGTGCAATTTATGTTTGTAAACTGCCTCCACGATACAGGAGAAAATCCTAGTGTGGGGGTGACTTTTTTTTAAAATTGAATTTGAATACCCTTATACTTCTTGTTGATTTTTGTATTACCTTTTAAAGTTACCCTTATGTATAAATAAATATAATTACGTATGTAGAAATAAAATTGAATAAAAATAAAAACAAACATGTTTTTTTTTCATCCTCATCAATCATTGGGGAGAGGATAATGTCAGTCAGCATAAGTAATAAGCAGGCTAAGTTACAAGGTGCTCAGTTCAAAAATTAGTAGGTAGGTATGTTACTTTTCAATACGTGACACATAAAAATTAAGAATAATCAAAAAGACATCTGCGAAACATCCTATTTATTTATTTATTCTTTATTGCACCAAATATTTGTACAAATGGCGAGCTATTTGTCTATTTACCTATAGTGAGTAGGTATCTTTTAAACTCGCAATTTTCAATGCTTCATTTTTAATATATAACTAATTATAAAATTTCATAATTAGATAATATATGAGAATACATAATTCTAATATAATGCAACTAATATACCGAATAAAAAAATTAAAATACATTTATAAGCGCGCCGTGTGTATTTCCATTTTCCATAAAATAGTTTATTGATGTTGAAAAAATAACACCACGTTCGTAGAGGTGGCGTCTTGCATATTTCTTACGCGATATATTGTAGCGAGTCGACGCAGCGGACCGAATGCTCAAGGTCGTTCGCATGGAGTAGCCCCTTAATTGTGTTCTTTGAAGTAAAAGTATTATTTTATTTTCAACATAATGACAGGAGTGTATTCAAGTTTAAAAGAAAAAATATCTATTGAAAATAGATTGTTTCAAGATGAGTGGGAAACGGATTATTTTGTTATGCCAAACAAAAACAATGCAGCTACTTGTTTGATATGTCGTGAAATTATTATATTGAAGAAATACAATATTTCGCGTCATTTTACCACAAACATAAATCTTTCGACGAAACGTTTCCTCCTTTATCTTCCTTGAGAAATGAATAATTGATTTTTTTAAGAGATCAATGTAGCAACAACAAAATGTTATGTCTGTGGCATTATCATAAGACTACGTATTAATTAAGACCTAAATAATTTTTGCTTGCGGCCCTCAACAACATGACTGAAACGTGTTTGTGGCTCCTATAAAAAAATATTGAGTATGAATATGAAGCTGTAATGAATCATACACGCTAGACCAGCCTAGCGTGTATGATTCATTACAGCTTCTTACCAAACGGGATGAGCATTACTGCAGATGTGTACTGTAAAGAACAGAACACAATGATGGAGAAACTCGCATGTCTCCAACCAGCTTTGGTCAATCGTTCATCCCCACTGCTCCTGAGCGCAACCTCATACTGCATAACAGACGGTCTCCAAGTTTCAAGAGCTGTGGTTGGAAGCTCTCCGTCATCCGCCGTACTTACCAGACTTCCAGAATTCGAATAACTTTTTGGCGGGAAAAAAATTCAATACCCGAGAGGCAGTACCAAATGCCTTTGAATTTGTTGTCTTCTGTCCAGCTGATTTCTTCAAAAAGGACATTAATAAACTGCCACTGCGTAGGAAAAAGTGCATCGTTTGCAAGGGTGACTACTTTGATGAATAGAAATAAAAAATATTGAAAAAAAAATACGTTAACTTATTTAATAAAAAACAGCAATTTTATAGATAAAGACCTAGTAGTATTTTAGGAACACAATTTTTTTCAAGTGCACTTACTTGACATTTGTACAATTCTTGTTGCATCTCCTTCCAATCCTCGAGTTCGTTGATAAATTTTTGCATTATAGCATCTCGGTCAACTGCAGAAAGTGCTATTTTGACTAAATCTGTGAATTGTGTCAATTATTTAGTTCTTTCCTTGATTTTTAATAAGCGATGAAATTTAACTTCAACTATGTGATGTGGTCTAACGAAAAACCGTTAGTTCTGCGCCTGTGGTTTCTGATGCATGGGGGTGAAACACTGCCAGATTTCTGACCTTTTTTTGGTTGTTACTGAGTATTTATTACAAAAATTTATAAAAGAAATTCTCATTAGCAGCCCTAGTCAGGAAAAGTGGTGTTTCACTCCCGTGCCTCAGAAAGCATATAAGGCTTTATATATATATATATATATATATATATATATATATATATATATATATTTAGGCTGAAACTTTACTTTTATTTATTTATGTTGTCGTGAACATTACCTTTTTCCGTCGGTGGAAGAGAGAAAGTTTTGGTTTTATTTCCATTCGGCTCACTGAAAGTAAAATACAAATATGAAATATACAAAACAATCCAACTGTCATAAGACCAATCTTGATATACGCATGGGAAGCTTTGACGCTAACCCTTATGGAAGGGGAAAAAAGCGTTTAGTGGGGAACGAAAGATCTTTCGGAAAATTCTGGGATCAACCAAAAGAGAGGATGGAACATGTCGAGTAAATCGTTTCTATACCTAACATCCTAAGAGAAATAAAAGCCACACAACTCCGTTCGCTTGAACATATCGAGCAAATTGATGAATTCCGAGCGATAAAAAGAACGTACTGGGACAACCTTCTGGGCGTCACCTGGTGAGAAGACCTAGATATCGCTGGATAGACCAGGTTGTAAGAGCGTAGAGGAGTCGATGTGCCCAAATGGACAGAGGTGGCACGGAGGCGGTGAAAGTGGCCTACTCTAATTTGAAATTCCACTTCGGGTACCTGATTCGGTGAAGTAAGTAAGTAAGATATATTTTATTGGGGTTGGATTTAGAATCGTTTAGCAGGAATTCGAAGGAGTACCTTGTTGTATTAGGTAGAGAATTGTTCCCCGATTATAACAATACCACTCGCATTAAAAGTTAAAACATCATTTTACTTCTTCTACTTTCACAAAAATTAAATTAAATGTCGGGGTGTAGGGGACATCCCCCCCACTCCCTCTCCCCCTCCTGGCAAACGATTCTAAATTTTTACCTTTTATTCTATAAATTAAAGCTAATGTAATTATTAAAAGAAAAATATATCTTATCTCATATCTTACCAATTATTTTCATTTAAATCCTTATCAATTTGTTTTTCATCACCCTTTTTATTTATATTATTTTCATCTCTTTCAGGCCTTAAGAAATCATTGTTTCTGTCAATTTCTGGTCCGCACTGTACTTGCATGTCACTCGTGATAGGTCTGGATCTAGATGTCAATAACTTCTCCTGACTAAGAGCAAAGGAATCGCACATTTTCCGTAGCAATTCCGTAATTTCGTTGGTTTGCAGCACGTTATCCCCTGTGGCTGTTTTGTACCTGTGATAAAATTCTACATAATATAACTGCTGCCTTACGACAATTAGGAAGTTATTTCAAATTAATGTCCTTTTTAGTACATAAGGTAAAATATTGGTTAATTTTTTCTCACCTTGCAGTGTTCCCCGCTGACTTGTTAGTGTACGCGACTCCACCCAGGTCTCGATCGATGTGAGTGCAACTCCCACTCTTGTAATCTATAGTGACCTCTACCTCTGTTTCCGCAGCTCCCCTCTCTACATGCGTGACACTACGGGCTGCTAACGTGTTGGGTTTCTAAAATACAGAAAAAATAATTAGTGCAAAAAGAGATAATATTAGGCAGAGCTGTTTTTCTTCTAGAAATCGGTTTAGGTGGAAACTATTGTCGTGAAGCGACAATAAAGAACAAAAAGAATCTAACCTAAGAACAACAAAACAACAAAAATACAACAAAAACAAAAAATATATTTAAGATTCAAAGATATTTACAATTTTATATAACAAAAATGGAGTATGAATATGAGGATGGATGATGCGATTTACAGATTATTTAAAAAAAAATAATGAAAAAAAAAAGAGATTAGTGCCGAAGCTGAGTCTGAAGATCCAAGGTGTGCTCTCAGCGCCTGGAACGAGCACGCACGACGTAGGTGAGAAGGCGTGGGCGTCTCTAGGCGACGACCTCCGGTGAATGTGGTAATTGCAGAATCCGGCGATTTCAGGCCAGATAGGGGCTTGCAGGATCCTCAGCGGCTTCAGACAACACAGAAGCCTGCAGGATCCGGTGACTGCAGGCGGGACAGAGGTTTGCAGGTTCCGGTGACTTCAGGCGGAGCAGAGGTTTGCAGGTTCCGGTGACTTCAGGCGGAACAGAGGTTTGCAGGTTCCGGCGACTCCAGGTAGAACAGAGACTTGTAGGATCCCGGCGACTTCAGGCAGAGCAACGGTTTGTAGAGTCCAGCGACTTCAGGTAGAGCAGAGGTTCGTAGAGTCCAGTGGCTTCCGGCAGGACAGAGGTTTGCAGGATCCCGGGGCAGTGCGGCCCCGGGATAAGGCCTTTAGGAGATGCTTCCAATTCGAGAACTGAAGCAAGACTGCCTTTCTTCACCGATTGTTCGGCTTTTATACCTTTCTAGAGAGAACGGAAAAATTATTTAAATTAAACGCAAATTTTTTGTAAATGGTCAAGAGAAAAGAGTATTTATGTGGAATTATCGAAATAGAAACAACAGACCGGTAGCAAATTTGAATATAATTGCTATGGAGACCAAATAAACAACAATGTCAAAACATGTCAAATTTTGGTTTTAGGCTTGTAATAAGAAAACGGCAAGATTTAAGTGGAAAATGAGATATTATTGATATAGGAAAAAAGGTAGCGCAACTGCCCACACAAAGCCCGAGATTGTAGAGTTACGGAAAACTAACTAAAAGATCAAAAAAAAGGTAGACTCCATTGACACCAATTTAAAAGTGCTGATAATGTGAAAATACGAAGTAGAAATGATTTGTTATTGTGTTCTTATGGTTTAAAATCGTTACAGGATCCTATGGAAATAAAGATGATGTAAAATATCCAGTTTTGAAGTGAATGCAGAAAATCGAAACAGAATGGAAAAATGAATTTAAAATAATGTAAAATGATAAGTAAGTAGCATAACACTACATTTTCCCCCCGACCCTGGAAAATTTTTGACTCAGCAAAAATTTTGATATATACATTCTAAAATAAACCATAAAATCACAGCTTTGCAGAAACAGACATCACCAAGCAAAATCAGATATACTATCTCTTACATTCATCATCTGCCATTCAGGTAAGGGTGGAGTTCACATTCAATGACTACCACTCTAAAAGTGTGTTTTCGAAATGACATTCAGGCTTATTTAAGGAGTAGTCATCCGCTCCTGCGTGGAAAAAAAATTATTAAGGGAGTAGTCAGTCGCTCCCAAGTGAAGATAAAGATAAAGAAATCAATCTTAAGCAAGCTTTAGTCGCTATGACTTAAGTAAAGATTAAGAACGGCCAGAGTGGTAGGGCTCAAAGCCAGAGATCAGCAACATCACTAGCGAGATGTGTCTGAAATAATAATAAAAAGTGAAGATTAACCAACCAAACAAACAAACAAATTAAAAGAAATAAAAATAATAAGGTGAAAATGATGGTGAAGATGAGAATGATGGTGAAGTTTGAGAAACAAGAGGGGGTTCCATGACAGTCGGGTCAACAGGCGGGTCAAGTGATGCAGAGTCATTTTCAGTTGAAGGTGGAGTCGAATTGTTTAGTAATAGCGTCAAATTTGTAAAGTTAAGTTTAAGAAATAAAAATTTAATTAAAAAATTATACCTCTTTAAGTTATCTAGAATAAAAATATTAAAGTGATGAATGTAAGTGAAGTGTTAAATGTAGGTCTAAATATAATCCAGATAAGTTGAAACACTAGATGAAGTGTTGTTTTAGAATTTGGAAGATTATCTACAATAAAAATATTAAAGTGATGAATGTAAGTGTTAAATGTAGGTCTAAATATAATCCAGATAAGTTGAAACACTAGATGAAGTGTTGTTTTAGAATTTGGAAGATTATCTAGAATAAAAATATTAAAGCGATGAATGTAAGTGAAGTGTTAAATGTAGGCCTAAATATAATCCAGATAAGTTGAACACTAGTAAGTAGCATAACACTACACTATTTAATATATTTTTAATTAGTTGAAACTTGTAAATATACTTATTATACGAGTCTAAAACTGAACAAAAAGAAGAACTTTAGTTTTTGCGCAAATATTAACTGCAAATGGCATTTGCACAGTAAGTATCGGCTTTTTTATATACTCAATATTACGACAACCAAGCTAATAGTCCGCCAAATGGTAGGGTGCGTGTAAAAGTGCGTAGCTACAGCACTCTGACCGCCTCGTTGGTCAAGTCGTTGTAGAAGTGCGACCGCTGATCATGAGGTCCAGGGTTCGAATCCCGGGTCGGGTCAAAAAAAATCAGTTATAATATGTCACCCCCGTGCTTCGGAAAGCACGTAAAGCCGTTGATCCTGCGCCTGATCTCTCTCCGGTCATGTCGGCTTACCGTCACATCGGACTATGACATTGAGGGAATAGAGAGTGACCCAGTGCTTGCGCTTACACTTGGGCACTATAATCGTGTCCTGCACCAATGTCTAGGTCCTGTTGAGGCTGGCCGCCGTGACCAAAATTCGGTCTGGAGGAGGACATTAGCTAATACAGCCTGTGAACATCAGCAAGCACACTCAAACAAAGAAGGTCACAATCACAAACTCCTTCACATTCCTAAGGAATAAAATGAAATACAACAATCTTAACAGTGCACGGCATTGGCTTCACTGCTGCATGGCGGTAGAAATAGATAAGAAGATGGTACAAACTCAGATAGACTCATGTATTACAAAATTTTTTTATCATTTATAGATCATTAATTATTTATTCTAATTCAGAGGTAATTTTAGGTCCTTTTTTAAGGCCAGTCTCTAGTTCTCATCACTAATTCATGCTCGCATTGCTTTTATGTCTAATATATTTCAAGCTTAAACATCCAAGACCATTATGTAGGTTCGAGGTAACAAAGACAAACATTGTATTGTAACGACGTAATGTCAGCCGGACACGGAAACTAACAATTTGTGTTTTACACAAATAGCGCCAGCTATTATTCAAACAATATCCGTTGCCCAGAAGTACTCTTAATACGAGGGCGACACTGAAAGTTTTTAGAACTGACCACTTGTAAACGATATAATAAAAAATAAGTTAAAATTTTGAAAATGGAACTCTTTGCCAATATTATTGTATATGTATTTCATTAATTTGTCATTTGTTTACGATTTGGCAGCAAATTGAAAATTGTCTGTGTCCCGTCAGCATGAATTTAACGCGAAAAAATTTTCGTACAATGATTTTTTATGACTTTCGTTGTCATATAAGTAAACAAGAAAGTTATGATAGACTTCGATTGGCCTTTCACGATGAAGCCCCATTGCGTGCCACTGTTTACAATTGGTTTAGTGACTTTAAACGTGGGCGTACTAATCCCACCGATGATCTGCGTGAGGGACGGCCTTCTACGGCGACGACTGAAGATAACATTAGTGTTACGGCTGCCCCTGCAAAGGTCGCTGTAGTGTTTGCATATAAATATAAGTCACTGTCTCGAGCGCACCACGTCAGTTACACGAGAGCCTCGGGCGAGAGTGGACGTGTTTAGTTAAGTGCGTGCCAAGCCTGTGTTACACTACAGTGATTAGAGAAGATAGCAGACAATACAGGTGGTGACGAGAAAAAAGGTAAATACCTGTTAGTATAAAGCTACCAGTATAAAGATATCAACAAAAATAGGTTAGTAATGTGCAACTATTAGCATTGCAATTGCAAATTGTAAACTAAATCCTAGAGTACCCGCGGAAAAAAAACTTTGGATTATGAATTATGATTTATTGTTTTTAACCCAGTTATGATCATTTTAATAATTTATATAAATTATATGTTCGCATATGAGACCACGCTTATGGTGTGCAAAATTTATTTTCTTTATGTAGCAATGACAAAATAATGATTTATTTTAACATATGTCTATTAGCACAACTTTTATTTAAAAAGATTTTTGATGGAAAAATAGTAGATGTAACTAATCACTCCTCTCGAATCGAACCGAAATACAATGTCGTTAGCTAAATTTTAGTGGCATTTTACATGTAGGTGTGAAATTTATCGCCTTTAATGAAAATACTATTTTACCGCTTTCATGGCATATATGTCTTACAAAAAATCGTGGACACTTCACGACTTCTGTAAATTGCATAGTAGGTAACTAGTAATACAGTAAATGCGTATTATAGGTATTGAATTCACCCAAAGCCTAAATGGCACAGCAATGGAAGTAGTCGGTATAACAAATTAACCGAAAGAGAAGGGCGAGTGTTATGAAACATATTACTATCATTAAATTGAGGTTGGGTACTAAGATACCACAATTAAATTGGAGTTTAGGTACTAAGATACCACCATTAAATTGGAGTTTGGGTACTAAGATGCCACCATTAAATTGGAGTTTGGGTGCTAAGGCACTACCATTAAATTGGACTTTGGGTGCTAAGTACTACCATTAAATTGGACTTTGGGTATTAAAATACCAGCATTAAATTGGAAATAAATATATAAGAAACTGTTTCAGTTTGCCCCTAAAATAATAATAATAATAATGATACCGTTATCAACTTTAATGTGATAGCACATCTATGGCTATAAGGTGTGAACAATGGAAAA